TGAATATTGTGTAAAATTACCTTCAGGGGGCTGAAAGATCTGGATTCAGTTCCGAGCATCCACATGTACTCAACAACCATCTGTAATTCCAGTTCCAGGGGATTCGATGCCGTCCTCTAACCTCCTTGGACACTGCATGACACAGGTGCACTTAACAATACATGCAAGCAATACACTCATGCACATAAAATAAAATAAGAAAATCAACCTCTATTACACACAAACACAAAGCAGACTGGAAAAACCGGATCAAAAAAGGCAAAAGTCACCTGCCCAAACCACACACCTAGAAATACTTGGAAGCACCCAGAACCCATCTCACTCCTGGCATGCCCAGGGAACTCACCTCAAACTCTCGGATATACGGTGCAATACCACAGTAAGGCTGGTTATGGTGCTTTGTAGCAAAACACTCATATATATATATATATATAATATTTAAAAGTTAAATAAATCAAAAAAATTTAAATTAGCATGTGGATTAGGTGTGTATGAATCATAAATGAATTTCATGTTTAGACATGGTCCCATCTCCAAGGTAATTCATTATGTATGATTATGGAAATATTCTAGTATCCATAAAAAAAATCACTTTGGTCACAAACAGCTTCAGATAAGGGATACTCAAGCCCCGTGCCTGGCCCAGAGTTGGTTAGGATCGTGTGCAAAGGAGCATGTGAGTCACTTCCGGCCTGGCAGATAGAACAACTAAAAGACATTTCAGCTCGATTATTAGCAGTCTAAGCCAGGACTTCTCAAGGACACTGTAGACATTTGGGGAAAGAGATTGGAGGGGTGCTACTTCTCTGACTTCTACCCATTAGATGCCAGGAATACCTTTCTCTCCATTCATGACCAAAGTATTATCTCCAGGCATCCCAAATAACCTATAGTAGGCAAAATTACCTCCCCCCATAGCAAACCACAGCTCTCAGTCACTTCTTACTTAAACCTTCAACGCTCCTCATTGCTCGAAAGCACAGCTGTGCTTCCTGAGCCTGCAGGCATTGGACATGGGATATCTTGCACAAAACCATTCCCCCCTTTTTGTGTGTTCAGGCCATTTATTGATTCAGTGCACTATTGGCTGAGCTTCTGGGATGTCCAAGGGAGGACTAGAGAGAATCTTCTTTGCTCAAAAATCTGTCTCTGTGATCTGTGGGCTTCCTGATTCCACCCGCCAAGATGCACTCTGTTGTTTGCCTTTTAAATAACAACTGTCTGTCCATATTATGATCTTCCCAGACTCTGGAGCAATAAACAGCAGCTCCGGTGACAGCTGCAGCAACAAGTAAGTGCACACATGACTCTCCCAAGCACTTCAGAATGGCTAAGTGGATAAAACTGATTCCAACTATTACCTGGGTGGCCACTTGTGTCTGTGGCACCCACCTTGTAGACATTAGGCAGGCTCTGATGACAGGAGGCAGGAAGGGAAGGAAGGGACTGTTCTCTGGTCATCCTTATCTTACAGCCCCTACTTCTGAGCCCCAGGGAACCTCAATCCTGGCTCCTAGCTGACCCCTGAGAGCTTTACTGTCCTGAGATCCTGGGGCATTCAACCTAAGGGCATAAGCAGGTATCTACCTTCTGGAGCATGGCACAGGTGGGAGGCAGGGGCCACATACTTTTGAACATTCAGGGAAAGCTTTGGGAGCTGGTGGCTTCACTTCTGGTTCAAAGGTATGAGTGGAAGTCAGAGAAGGAGGAACGGAGATAGTTCATGTGTGGGGTCTATGAACTTAGGGCCATTGCTTTCTGATATGCGGCTGGTCTATTAGTTACTTTCCTTGCTATGATTTGAAAAAAAAAAAAAAACCTGAGAAGACTCAAGGAAGGAAGGTTAATCTTGGCTCATAGTTTGAGGGTACAGACTGATGGTACCCTCATGGTGGAAGTGTGAAGCAGCCAGTCACACTGTCCACAGTCAAGAAGCAAGGGGTAACAACTGGGGCTCAGTTTGCTGGTCCCTTTGTATCTGATCTAGGACAGTGGAATGCTGTCCTGTATATATTCAGGATGGGTCTTTGCTCATCAGTTAAGCCTCTGGAAAAACCCTCACAGACACACCCAGAGGTGCCTTTCCTAGATAATTCTAAATCCTGTCAGGTTGACAGTGAAGATAACCATCCCAGCTGCTCTCCCCAGTTTAGTTGTAGTCCCTCCAGGACAAGGACCCAGGATATTTCATCTCTGAATCCCTAGAACTCAACTTGGAGATTGGTTTTTGTTTGGATGGATGATTAGATATGATGCCTAACTGCAAAACTGTTTGAGTACCTAAAACCTACCAGGTATCAAATTCTTCCTCAACTCAAACAAATTAAACGTCTCGGCAGGTCAGAAGCTTTCCTTGCATCTCTTCCCATTTTTCCTGTATTTTTAGGCCACACAGTGGACTTCCTTAAGCTTGTGACTAGAAACCCATCCGTTAACCAGGGTTGGCTTGAAAAGACTGCCTTGCCTGTCGGGTTCTGATTAGATCTCCACACTGAGCTGAACATTGCTGTACCTTTGGCCTCTGCTCAGAACTTTGTTCATAATAATCCTTCACCTCTGCAATGAGAAGACTCAGGTTGATGCCTTCATCCATGGATTTACTAAACCTAACAAAATGTAACAGTATCAGTGAGCCGGTTTGTAATGAGTGTCTTCTACTTGTCCCTCACTCCCCACCCTCTTCCTCCCACCCAGGGAGGCTGCTGGATGGTATGTTTCAATGGGCTCCCAGAGTCTCTGTCTACTACCTGGCTTCTGCTAATAGGCTGGCCTGCCAGAAGATCAGAGTGGGAGGAGACCGTGAGGTTGGGATATGCAATCAGCGCAGCTCACCATTCCTCCAAAGCCTTCTTTCAAGACAACCCTCTCTGCAGAACTTTCCACACTCTCTTCTCATGCCTTAGGATCTCTAGGTGTTAACAGCTCCATGTCACTATTTCCAGGAAGCTGGAATGTCCCTGTAGGTCCTGAACATATCATTATCCCCAGATACTGGGCTAGCCCTGTGGGTCCCCATCATCACTATTCCCAGGGAGATAGAGCATCTCATGGGTCCCCAACTCTTCTCAGATCTGCCTACCTTGAAAGTGCCATCTATTTCCTGTTGACTGATATTATTGGCCTAATGTAATTCTAAGACTAAGGGGGCCTTGTCCTCTACCCTCTTCCTGGATCTCTAGAGACTCCTGTGAGTCGAGAAGAAACACACCCAGGAAGGACCACCGCTTACCAACCCAGCCCATCTTAACACTATGTTACCTTTTATGGCCAGACCCATGTTTAAAAAACACTTGTCAGGCCAACAAGATGGATCAGTGGGTAAAAGCACTTGCTATGCAAGCCTGACAACCTGAGTTCAATCCCTGGACCCTATGGTGGAAGCAGAGAACCAACTCCCTACAGTGGTCCCCCACAAGTTCACTATGGTACCAACCCATATGTACATGCATGTGCACACATACACATTGATAATAATAACAATAATAAATAAAATAAATTTTAAAGTACTTATCAACCACTCTCTTTAATTAAACCATTTTAAATCAACCAGGCAATACTTACCCATGAGAACTTTTGAATATGTCAAATAACAAGAAGAAACACCCTAAATTCTTACCTAAAATACAGAAACCTGGTCTACCTGTCCATAGTCCCTAATCTCTTAGGGGAAGGGGACGAGACAGAGTGTTAGCTCCTTTATTGAGTCCAGGATTAGAACCCACAGAACCCTGTGATTTCCCACTCAGAGCCCCTGCTAAGCTCAGCCTTGAGACACGTTTCTGAAAACTTGGAAGACTGAAGGTCATGTGGTTTTTCTCTAGACCAGGAGCAGGCTACAACCCATGCAACAGCCTCTATTTTTGCAAATGAAATGTTACTGGAACACATCCACTTGTTTATGCTTTGTCGTGGGTGTTTGTATACAGGGCAGACTTGAGTTCTCTGTCTAGAGACACAGAAGTCCACCTGCCACCTCCAACAGATCTGCCCCCAGGGTGGTCCTCATCTAGTATCAGACAGCTTAGATTTCAGAAGAGCTCCCACCACAGCAGAAAAGAGGCCTCACTGTGCCAAAGCTAGTTCTACAAGCACTGCAGTTCATGCCCACACCCACGTTCCTTCTGGGAGTCGGAATTTTTTTACCTACCAGGCCAAGGCAACCCATGTGATCAGCCCTAGTAGAAATCTGGATGTTAGAGCTCTAATAGGCTTCCCTGGTACACATCCTATCACACATTGCTGGAGGACAGAGCGCACCCCTGTGACTTCCCTGGGACAGGACTTTGGGGCTGGACTGGCTCTAAGACTTTGTTCTACACCCTTCTCCTTTGCTGGTCTCCTCTGTTTCCCTTTATTGTACTGTTCAGAGCTGGGAGTCCTCACCGAACAGGAGGGTGAACCTAGGGATTCCCTAGCATACCCTCCAGGCCAAAAGTACTCACCACCTGCCCCTTTAGAGGTAAGTCCTGCTAACTCCTGCTCAGCTCAGATTTAACAGGTGTGGAAATTCTGTGTCCCTCACCTCCCAGCCCCCAATATTCAGAGCTCCCCAAAGGCATGGCCCAGGTCTTTGTGCTCTGTATCTCTTAGCCAAACATAACAAAATATTTATGAAGGAAGTCAGTGAGTCTGCACATAATAGATTCAAGAAGTGCTTTCAAAGCCATGAGTAGTGAAATCAATTTAAAAGGTTATGGCCAATGTATCTCAATAAAAGAATAGAATAGAAAATATGGGAGTATATATCATGCAGTGGGGTAAGTTTCATTTCTTGAAAGTTTCGTATTATACTTCTGGACCAAATACTATCTTGGATCATGAGGTAAAAGGTTTTCTTGTTGCCTTTACAATATATGACCATCTGAAAATCACTGGCTGTAAAAATCTGGGATCTTCCCTCACTGAGGACTCTTTGCCAGGTGCCTGGTGACAGTGACCACTTAATCTCCATCTCCCTGGCCATTGCATCTGACCTGATACTCCCTCCTCTCCACCCCCAGAATGTGTACTACACCAGTGGTGAGCAGATCCACGTGGGTGTCCTGAGCCCCACGGTCGATGACGATGACAACAGGTGTCTGGTAGACGTCAACAGCCGGCCACGGCTCATCGAGTGCAGCTACGCCAAGGCCAAGAGGATGAAGTTACACTGGCATTTCTCTCAGGTAGCACCCTAGAGTGAGAAAGCCACTGAGCAGAAATGTCAGGCAGTGGCCACAGGGGCGCCATCAGGCATGGAGGGGGCTGGGACACAGCGACTTCAAGGCCACCTCAGGGGTTTACTGAGCACCTGAGTCAACAATCTCAAACCTGTTATCCCCCATTTCCTGATACTGATGCTGAAGGAAGTCATTATTATTGCTTTATTATCCTTTTACTCTTCACAGATAAGAAACTGAGACTCAGAAAGAGAAGCCACATGCCCAAAGTCAGGGAAGGAGG